TTCAGTCTGGGTCTGAAGGCCACTCTCTCCTCTTTGAGGAGTAAGTTCTGGAGACTGTCCCAGAAACGGTCTGCACTTCGGGCAAGCCGGATACTTATATATTGAAGTGGGGGATCCTCACTCCAGGTCTCCACAGCAGCCACACTCTAGAAGGGAGTTCTCCTGACACTGGGGGACAGATGGGACACAACATGCCTGTCCCTGCACCACAGAGACACCTCTGTCTAGTCACTGACACTGAACTGATTCTGATGGAAGGGGGCCCAGAGGAGCAGCAGGCCCTTGCTCTGAAGCAGTAGGTCTTGGCCAGGGCTGCCAAGGCTTCCAGAAGAGTAGAGCAGGAAGATGACTCCTCAGATCTGCTCAGACCCTGGGACATGGGGGCTGCTACAGCATTTCTTAAGGGTCATCATGGGGAGCAGGGAGAATAGTGTTCTGGGATCCAAAACTGTCACATCTGTCTAGCAGCAAAGTTGGTGGACGGTGAGGAAGTGAGTTCCTTGTCCCTGGATATGTGTGGGGTAAGCGTGGGCAGAATCTCCACTGACAAATGGGAGGCTGACCATGGCTTTCCCTGCTCTCCAAAGCCAGCACTGACATTTGGTCTTTGTGGCCTTGAGTCATGCCCCAGAGGCGCTCCAGAAAAACCTCTGGAACACCTGGGCTGCCTGGGCTGTCTCTCCTCCAGCTTTCTGCCTTAGACTGCCTGTGACCTCCTCACCTCATCCCATGGCCTTGGCTGGAGCAGGACCACTACTCCAACGGGCCCTCCAATCCACAAACCTGACTGGGGCAGCCCCTCCCCAGTAGGGGAGTAGGGGGAGTTCTTTCCCTAGGCCTAGTCAGGAAACTGGGGACCCCCTTAACTAAGAGCAGCCCGGCAGGAGGAGGCCCCTCCCGCCTGTGCAGTGCATGCCCCTGCACGCCAGCTTGCACCTTGCCCACACTTTTTCTCTGTTGTTCCGAACTGCTTGTCCTTGGCAGCAGAATTCAGCATGATATGATAATGCCAAGAGTTTTGTGGAAAAATCTTTCTTTTGTGAAATAATAAAAAAAAATTATTTGGATGGAATACACACTGGAGAGGAATAGAGGAACACTTTACCTTAAACACTGTCTAACAGTTTCAACTCTTAATAATTCCTAAGAAAAATTCTTTTTCCCTCTCCCTATCCCACTTCAGGCCATTTCCATTTTTCATGAGAACCTGTGGTGTGGAGTCCTCCCTGGGGTCCTCCTCTGCACCAAGCCATGGGCTAAGTATTGAATATATGCCCTCATTTAATTCTCACAGCAGTCCTGTGCAGTAGGGGTTATTTTTAACTGCGTTTTACAGATGAGGATACAGTGGCTGGGAGAGGTTAAATTGCTTGTGTGAGTTCCCAAAGCTAGTTACTTATAAAAGCCAATCCTAAAAGACAGGTCCAAAGACCAGTCTTTGGCCACCACTCAAGTCTGGTTCACCCCTCAAACATTCTTGTTCCAAATGCCTCCCCGAGGATTCAGATGAAGAGCCCAAACAATGCATGGACATAGGTAAAATCACCTTCTCCAAAGACCTTCTCACTCCTTTCTCTCCTGCAGGAAACTGTGCCCACTACCAGAAGGGAGGCTGGTGGTATAATGCCTGCGCCCACTCCAACCTCAATGGGGTCTGGTACCGAGGGGGCCATTACCGGAGCCGCTACCAGGATGGAGTCTACTGGGCTGAATTCCGAGGAGGCTCCTACTCACTTAAGAAAGTGGTGATGATGATCCGGCCCAACCCCAACACCTTCCACTAAGCCAGCTCCCCCTCCTGACCTCTTGTGGCCATGGCCAAGAACCCACCCGGCCATACTGGTCCAGCACAATCATCGCCAGTTCATCTTGGGGCTGGGAGGACAGGGATGCTGGATTCTGTTTTCCCAGGTCACCGAGGCAGATAATGGAACTGAACTGATAGGGTTTTCTGTTCCTCCTACTTTTCTTCATACCAGACAGCCCCTTGTGTTTCCAGGACAGGACTGAAGATAACTCTTTCTTTTTCAGTAAATAAAGTCTCAACAATAAAAACACACCTGCAAAATACCTTCATAATAGACATGTGTATGAGCCTCCCTTGTGCACTTATGTGTATATCACATATATATGCATTTAGATATATATCACGTGATATATCTAGATACATATATAAGTTCACCTTATATACCTAAATACACATATACTCAATTCTCAAATGTTGAAGCTGTTACCAACAGCTTTGCTCGTAGGAGAAAGGTGTTTCATTAATGCTGTGTTACTTGAGTCTAAGGGCAGATTGCAGACCGTGTAGCCTCAATTCAAAGAATAATACTTGGCATCTGTGTGCCTGGATTCTTCCAGGAATGTCTACAATGCTAATCTCTCACACAGAGGTTCCCAGCTTCCTCGCTTAAGAACCCCTTTGGGCACCTCATCAAATTTCAAAATCCCTCTCCCTCTCCATTTTTATACCTTCCCCCATTCTCAGGACTTCTCACCATGCATCCACCCACTTATTCATTCATCAGCATTCATTAAGTGCCTTCTGCGTATCTGGGCCCCGGCCTCTCACTGCAGTTCAAAGCACCTGCTCTGCCCTTTGCCTACCACTTCTTTCCTTTTCTGTTGCACCAAACTGTCTAGGCAAGATTCCTGAAGTGCCTTCTGCGTATCTGGGCCCCGGCCTCTCACTGCAGTTCAAAGCACCTGCTCTGCCCCTTGCCTACCACTTCTTTCCTTTTCTGTTGCACCAAACTGTCTAGGCAAGATTCCTGAGCCTCTGAGTAGGAAACAGTCTGGGCTCCAGGTTTCTGGTCAGGAAAGGGAAGGCCAGGCCAAAAACTACACTGGCCACATAGATAATGTATTTGCAGTTTTGTATCTTCCATTCATACTTTAGCCTACATGTCATTTTAACCTTCACACAAATAATAACCTACATTGTCAGGAGATATTCAATTGAAGAGAAGTCATCATCAGATAGTCAGGGCCCCCAAATGGATACAAACCAAAGGTCCCATGTTCTCGGGCCAACTAGGGTCTGCATCTCATCCCCAAACTACACTTCCCTGGAGAGCAGGTGCCACAACATGAGAGCACGTGCCACAACATGAGAACTGGCCACTTCTCGTGAGTTACTGAATAATCAGGGGCCACTGCAACCCTTGGCTGGTGCATTACAGTATGGTGGCTTTAAGTCCTATTGACCACACAGTGTCAGACTCAGTACCATCAGGACTGTTGCCAAGCAAGGAGCAAGAGATGAATCAAGAAGGAGTGACATTCCCCGGTGGGCACATGGGTCAGGGTGTGCGAGATGTTGGACGTTTGGTACTGTCCATGTCTGGGTGCATGCCTATTACCTCAGCATTTCTCACAAAGTGTACCATGTAGCATGTTTTATGTATATAAAAGGGAGGGTGTTTTTTTTTTAATATATTCCCAGATTATCCTTGTAATGACACAAATCTGCAATAAAAGCCATCAGTGCTATTTGAATGTATCTACACTGTGTGTTATTGTTTTAGAATGCCTTCCTGGGACCTCCCATATCAAAGTCTCTTTAAGTAAAACCAAGAAAAAATTCAGGATGGGGCACACACCAAAATCACTGAATTCACACTCTCCTTATCCTTGGTTTCTGCTTATACCCTCAGAAGTCCCGTGACAGTACCTCAGGTCAAGATGGCTCTCTGGGGCTCCTTACATCCAGCTGTTTCCTGGACATCTCCACTGGATGTCCTGGAAGCACCTCACAGGCAGTGCAGTTAATACCTAAAACACCTTTCTTCCAGGTCTGGTCCCATTTCACCAAATGGTACCATGTACTCGATTGCTCAGGTCAAAAGCAAGAACTTCTCTCCCTTGCCCTTGCCAAGGCCAATCCATCCCTCCAGGCCAAGCCCTCCTGCCTACCTTAGCGTAGGCCCTCATCTTCTCTCCCCTGAACTACTGCAACAGGCTCCTCACCAGGAGCCTCTGTCACTCTCATTTAAATCCATCTTCTACACTAGCTGCCAGAACTATCTCCTTATAAAACAAATCTGTGGGTTGGGAAGGCGATTATAGGCATGACGGGAAACCCCAACACCATAAAGGAAAAGACCAAGGGATAAGACTGGAAAAAAAAACCAACAAATTTTCTGCCTCTAAAAAACAAAGCAAAACCTGACCAAGATTGAAAGACAAATATCAGACAAGAAAAAAAATGCATAACATATATAACAAATACAGGATTAATATTCATGCCATCCCCAAATCCCTTTAAAAATAAGATAAAAACACTGTGACAGAAAACTTGGCAAAGTACATGAACACATTAGAAGATTCACAAATGGCCAGTAAACAAGTAGAGATGTCAAACCCAGTAATAACCAGAGAGGTGCATTAAATTAAGGATAAACCATCATATGTTGCCTCTCAGATAGACAAAAACAAATTTTTATTCAAAGTGTTTTCACTTTTATTTGTACATATTTGTGAGGCACAGTGTGTTGTTTCAATACATGCATATACTGCACAATGACTCACTCAGGGTAAACAGCATAGCTTTGTACCCACTACTCCACCATTTTTCCTCCTCCTTGGCCCTGGCTCCCAACCTCTGGTAACCATTATTCTACTCTCTACTTCTGTGAGAACCATTTTTTTTTTTTTTAAGATTCCACATATGAGTGATATCATGCAGTATTTGTCCTTTCGTGCCTGACTTACTTCACTTAACATGACAGTTTCCAGTGCCATCCTTGTTGCTTCACATGATAGAATATATACACATATTTTATAGCTGAGTAATATTCCATTGAGTATATATACCACAATGTTTTTACCCATTCATCCACTGATGGGCGCTTAGGTTGATTCCATTTCTTGGCTATTGTGAATAGTGCTGCAGTGAACATGGGAGTGTGGGTGTCCTTTTGATACATCGTTTTCATTTTAGGGGGTATATACTCAGTAGTGGGATGGCTGGGTCATAGGAAAGATCTATTTTTAGTTCTCTGAGGAACCTCACTACCGTTTTCCACACTGGCTGTACTAACTTACACTCCCACCAGCAATGTAGGAGAGTTCCTTTTTCTCCCCATCCTCACCAGCATTTGTTATTTTTTGTCTTGTTGACAATAGCCATTTCAACTGGAGTGAAATGATACTGCACTGTAGTTTTAATTTGCATTTCCCTGATGATTAGTGATGTTGAGAACTTTTTCATGTGCCTGTTGGCCATTTGAATGTCTTTTTCTGAGAAATGTCTGTTCAGGTCCTTTGCCCATTTTTCAATTGGGTTATTTTTTTGCTGTTGAGTTGTTTAATTTCCTTATATATTCTAGATATTAGCCTCTTGTCTGAAGTGTACTTTGCAAACACTTTCTCTGATTCTGTAGGTTGTCTGTTGACACTGTCCCTTGCTGTACAAAAGCTTTTTAGTTTGTTGTAGTCCCACTTACATATTTTTGCTTTAGTTGCTTGTGCCTTTGTATTCTCACTCAAAAAAGTGTGGTCCACTTCCATTTCATGTAGTATTTCTTTCCTCTATATTTTCTTTTAGTAATTTCACAGTTACAGGTCTTAAATTTAGGTCTTTGACCCATTTTCAGTTGATTTTTGTATAGGGTGAGAGATAGGGGTCTAGTTTCAATCTACTACATATGGATATCCAGTTTTCCTAGCACCATTTGTTGAAGAGGCTGTTCTTTCCCCAATGTATGTTTTTGGCATCTTTGTCAAAAATCAGTTGGCTGTAAATGTGGGTTTATTTGGGAGCTCTCTATTCTATTCCATTGAACGTTCTTTCTGTTTTTATGTCAATACCATGCTGTTTTGGTTACTGTAGCTTTATAGTATATTTTGAAGTCAGAAAGTATGATGCCTCCAACTTTGTTCTTTTTGTTCAAGATTGCTTTAGCTGTATGCAGTCTTCTGTGATTCCCTACAAATTTTAAGATCACTTTTTCTGTTTCTCTGAAGGATGCCATTGGTATTTTGACAGGGAATGCATTGAATGGGTAGATTGCTTTGGGTAATATGGACATTTTGATGATGCTAATTCTTCTGACCCATGAACATGGGATATCTTTTCATTTATTTGTGTCTTCAATTTTTTTCCACCAATGTTTTATAGTTTTCGTTGCAGAGATATTTCACTTCCTTGGTTAAATTTGCTCTGAGATATTTCAATTTTTTGGTAGCTACTGTGAGTGGGATTACTTTCCCACTACCTTCTTTGGCTATTTTGTTATTGGCATATAGGAAGACTATTGATTTTTATATGTTGACTTTGTATCTTGCCACTATACTGAATTCATTTATTAGTTCTATTAATTTTTTGGTGGAGTCTTTAGGGTTTCTCGGTACAGGATCATGTCATCTGCAAATAGGAGTAGTTTGATTTCCTCCTTTCCTATTTGAATGCCCTTTATTGCTTTTTCTTGTCTTACTGCACTGGGTAGAACTTCTAGTACTATGTTGAATAAGAATGAGGAAAGTGGACATCCTTGTCTTGTTTCAGACCTTAGAGGAAAAAGCTTCCAATTTTTGTCCACTCAGTATGATATTAGCTGTGGGTTTGTTGTATATGGCCTTTACTGTGTTGAGGTACATTCCTTCTATAACTAGTTTGTTGAGTGTTTTTATCATAAAGTGGTGATGGATTTTATTAAATGCTTTTCCTGCATCTATTAAAATGATCATATGGTTTTTTCCCTTCATTCTGTTGATCTGATATATCATGTTTATAGATTTATGTATGTTGAAACATCCTTGCATCTCTGGGATGAATCCCGCTTGATCATGGTGTATGATCTTTTTAATATATTTCTGGATTCTGTTTCCTAGTATTTTGTTGAGGATTTTCATGTCTGTGCTTATCAGAGATATAAGTCTATAGGTTTTTTGTTGTTGTTGTTGTGTCCTTTTCCAGTTTTGTTATGAGGGTAATGCTGGCCTTGTAGAATGAATTTGGAAGTATTTCTTCCTCTTCAATTTTTGGAAGAGTTTGAGATGAATTGGTATTGGTTCTTCTTTAAATGTTTGGTAGAATTCAGCAGTGAAGACATCTGGTCCTGGGGTTTTCTTTGTTGGAAGACTTTATTACTGCTTCAATCTCAGTACTCACTGTAGATCCATTTAGGTCTTCTAGTTCTTCATAATCCAACTTCAGTAAGTTGTTAAGTGTCCAGGAATTTATCCATTTCTTCTAGGTTGTCTGCTTTGTTTGCATATAGTTGTTCATAATAGTCTCTTATGATTCTTTGTATTTCTGTGGTGTCAGTTGTAATGTCTCCTTTTTCATTTCTAATTTTATTTGAGAGTTTCTTTTTTTCTTCATTAGTATGGCTAAAGGTTTATCGATTTTGTTTATCTTTTCAAAAAACCAACTCTTTCTTTGATCTTTAGTATTGTTGTTTTTGTTTTTTAAATCTCTAATTCGTTTCTGCTTTGATCTTTGTTATTTCCCTCCTACTGATTTTGGGTTTGGTTTGTTCTTGTTCTTCCAGCTCCTCGATGTATAATGTTAGTTCTTTCTTCTTTTCTGATGAGGCATTTATTGCTATAAACTTCCCTCTTAGAACTGCTTTTGCTCTCTCCCACAGGTTCTGGTATGTTGTGGTTTCATTTTCATTTGTCTCCAGGAATTTTTTTTTTTTTTCCTTTTTTGTCTTTTTTCGTGACCGGCAACGGATCGCAACCCTCAGTGTCGCGCCCGTACCGGACCGGGACCGGCCACGGGATCGCAACCCTCGGTGTTGCTCCCACCCCTCGCTCAGCCAGTGAGCGGCCGGTCTGTATGTGGGATCTGAACCCTCGGCGAGAGCGCCACCGCGCTTCCCAAGCGGCGCACTACAGCAGTGCGCCACCGGGCCGGCCCTGTCTCCAGGAATTTTTAAATTTCCTTCTTGATTTTTTTCTTTGACCCATTCATTGTTTAGGAGCATATTGTTTAATTTCCATGTATTCATATGATTTCTACTGTCCCTTTTGTTGTTAATTTCTAGTTTTATCCCATTGTGGTTGGACAAGGTAGTTGATATAATTTCAATTTTTTTAATTTGAGGCTTGTTTTGTGTACTAATGTATGATCTATTCTAGAGAATGTTCCATATGCTGTTGAGAAGAATGTGTATATGCTACAGCTGTCTGATGAAATGTTCTACAAATGCCTGTTAAGTCAAGTCAGCCTATAGTAGAGATTAATTCTGATGTTTCCTGGTTAATTTTCTGTCTGGATGCTCTGTCTTTTACTGAAGTGGGGTATTGAAGTCCCCAACTATTATTGTGTCAGAGTCTATCTTTCCCATTAGGTCCAGCAGCAATTGCTTTATATAATAACTGGGTGCTCCCGAGTTGGGTACATACATATTTAGAATTGTTATACCCTCTTGTTGAGTTGATCCCTTTATCATTATATAATGACCTTATCTTTTTTTTTTTTTACTTTTCTTGGCTTGAAGTCTAATTTATCTGATGCAAGTATAGCTATTCCTGCTCTTTTATGGT